ATCCAGTATTCTCAACCAGTACATCCCGCAATTATCAAAGTGAAGGAACATATATTACCGATATCATGGTTACTTTACTTCAGGCTAGTTTGGGAATCTTCCAAATAGCTATATCTGCCTGAGCACGTAAGCAATAGCAGATAAAATTTTATTGGGAGAAAGTGCAAATACTGTATATACTCATCATATTCAACCACTAATTACAGGGCAGAACGTCAAAGCCTAGCAAGTACCGGCAAGAATCATTTACTAAAATAGATCTAAAAAATTGTGAGGTACGTAGGCATCCATAATATGTAGTTTGTCAATTTAAACTAAAAAAACTGCCTAAATAAAATATTTTTTCGATTATAGACAATAATAATTGATTGGTGCAATAAATTTAACAAAATATTTTCAAAATTATCTACTACAGAATGTCAATTTCCTAAATTACATAGTTGGCGTTATCATGTAGTCTCGATAATTCGCAAATATGGAGCCTTGAATAGTTTATCAACAGAAACTTATGAGACGTTTCACAAAACATATGTGAAAAGTCTATATAGATCTTCAAATAAGAAAGATATAATGAAACAGTTAATAAGCGCGGTAAGAACTTCACAGAAACTTAATCTCCAAATTTGTAATATTTGAGGAATCTTCCAAATGGCTATATCTGCCTGAGCACGTAAGCAATAGCAAATAAAATTTTATTAGAAGAAAGTGCAAATATATACTTATCATATTTATCCATCAGTTACAGGGCAGAATGTCAAAGCCTAGCAAGTAAGGCTTGATGGAATATAGGAGTAGATTGGGAATGTATTGGGAAAAAACCTGATGTTATGGTGTTGGTAGAGCATAAAGAAAAAATTAACGAGCTTTTATATGTTGAATGTTCATGTATTCTCTGTACCAAACAAAAAAAAGCTGATATTAGTATGAAGTTATAGAGAGAAACGCTAGATGGGTTGTGTTTTGTTGGTGCAACATGTAGACTGATGGACAACCAATTTGGTGTTGTAGGTATCCGGGTTGCAGGTACTGTTATGTATTTAAATATACTTGTTAAAGATTTAGGGAAATGTTACGCTATTTTCATCTAGGCCATGTAGGATTTTCATTGACGCTAAGGTATAAACTCTCTTGTATATTTATTGTTGACTCTGCATTTAAGACATTTTGAATATATCAAATGCATAAAGTATTGTTTTTATTTTATTATAATTAGCTGACTGTCTATTTGTAGAACAGAATATTCTTATTGTGAATAAAAGCCTTCTAATGCAAATATTAGAACGAGCAGACTTGCTTTCACCATAAAATATTTAACAAAGTCTTAGTCTCTTTACCACGTAGTGAAGAGCAAGTACAAAAAGGCCCAAGAATAATAATAAAACCAGAAAATTAAAAAGATATAAAAGTACCAGAATGTATTATAATTCAATAGATCGAGATATAATAGAGTTATTCGCATCTTCCTGTAATTTTTGCTATATCAATAAAGCTGAATATAGTAGCTGTTTTCATATATATAATCACAACTTTATTACTGCATTAGGGTTCTGGTTTTGGTGATCTTGTTTAGATTTATATTATATCTGATCTTGAATTTTAATTTACTATTTACTTTTGCATATATTATTATTTTATTTTATTTTTTTTAGATCAATAAAATTAGCCCTAGTGGCTAATTTTGTATATATAATCATGTTTACTTTTACATATGTATTTTGTGAATTTATTTATTGTATTGATATCAGTATCTATTAACTTGCATATAATTGAAAATTTTAAAATTTTTTTTACAAAAGTGATTAGTGAAACCAAAAGTCATGCACCTGTAATTTTATTTAAAATTAAAAATATTAATTAATAAAAAATATTTAATATTTTTTTTAAATATTTTTAGTTATACAAGCAGAGCTAATAAAATTATATTAATTGATATTAAGATATGATAAATGAGGAACACAACAATCATGTATAAGAAGGAAGTCCTATTTGGGTTAAATCAAAGTACGTGGAAGTCCTGTGTTGAGTTGGCTTTGACTGTATAGGAATGAAGGCCTTATGCAATAGACCTGAGGAAATAGCTTCTAATAATGCCAGTAGACCATAGGAAGACCCCCTGTTTAATCTCATATAGCGAAGAGGCAAGGCATGTTATGAAAACTGTTAGAGGATTTTGTAATTCAGAAAGAGCAGCTCAGCATAAATAGAACTAATGATCACGTGTCAAGGCTTTATAATCGGTGTTCTAGAATTCGAGATAGATTTTATGAGAGTTGTAAACTGGAG